CTGTCATTTTGAAAGGCCACCAGAGTTAGAGTTCATGTGAATCACACCTTAAACAAGGAGAGATCCCCCTTGGTCCTGGAGCCTCAGTCCCTGCCCAGCACCAGCCTTGCTCCCTCCTGCCTGCTGGGGAGTCTCCTTCATCCCAGGACAATAAGGATGGAAACACTTGGGCTTCTTCTGCCCCTGGTTTCTACCCAGTTTGGGCTCCCTCAGCAATCCCCACTCACTGCTTAGCTCCCTACCCTGCATAAGGGGAAGGGTCTCCTTCACACAGATGACCCCAGTGCAGGCAGGAATCAGCAGCTCCCTGCTCTTACCCCACCCAGGGGATTCTGCCTGCATATCCCTGCCTGGGGGCTCCACAGTGGTGTGGTCAGGTGGGGGCAGGTCCTTTCAGCAAAGGGGGAGTATGGCCCCAGAGCCTGGTATGGGAATTGCCCAGACATGCAGGATGGGAAGGTCCAGCAGCAGCTGCCTATGCCCAGCACAACTGATCCTCATTGCAGGGAATGCAGCAGGGGCTGGTATAAGTCAGACAAGATGCAAATCAAGGACAGGCTGTGATATATAAATTGCTCTGTCCCACTGCTCAGGCAGTAGCTCCACAGACAACCCACAGCCCCTTGGATCTGGGCAATGACCACCAACATCCAAGAGCTTCCCCCAGCACCAGGGAAGATGGGACTTGGGCTCCAGCTGCTTGTCCTGTTCACAGCTCTGAAAGGTATTTCATCCTCCTATATGGCAGGAACACAGAGGGGAGCCTTGCACTGATGCTGCCCTGATACTAGTTACTCTTGGATGCTGCCTTGCTTTTCAGGTGCCTGGTCCCAGGTGCAGCTGCTGGAGTCTGGAGGAGCTGTGAGGAAACCGGGAGGCTTTCTGCGCCTCTCCTGCAAAACCTCTGGGTTCCCCTTTAGTGACGAGCATATGGACTGGGTCCGCCAGGCTCCTGGGAAGGGGCTGGAGTGGGTGGCTGGAGTGAACAGTGTTGGCTCCACCGAGTGGTACTCCGCGGCTGTTGAGGGGCGATTCACCGTCTCCAGGGACAACTCCCAGAACACGGCGTACCTGCAGATGAGCAGCCTCGAACCCGAGGACACGGCCCTGTATTACTGTTCCAGAGACACAGTGACTCAAACCCTATTCAAGGCAATACAAAATCCCAGCTCAGATCCTCCCTTCAAAGATGCCAGGAGGGGGCAGCCGCCTCACACAGCACGGCCCTGCACAGAGGCAGGAGGGGATGCAAGGGACAGGGGAGAACAAACTCCAGCCTCAAGCCTTGCTTTTTTTCAGGTCCAGGAGCCCTGACAAAAGCCACCCCCAGACCCAGCTTGGCAGACATGGCTCCAGGCCACAGGAAATCCCAGGCAGGTCCTTCTCAGTGCATGTCACAGCGGGTAGCAACTTCACAAGAAGCACCATCCTGGGCAAAGGTGGGTGCACCAGGCTCTGGACTTTTGAGGGGAAGAAGGAGGGTTGAATTGGAAGAGCCTTGGCCACATCACCCACTGCTGCCCAGGTCTCGGCTGCACAAAGCCCTACTCTCACTGCTGGCCATGGAAAACCAAGTTGTGACTCCCAGCTGGAAGCAGGGCTCCAGTTTCCAGAGTCCATCCATGACACAGCAGCCTCCACTCTCCCCTTCTTCCATCTCCTTCCACTCCCCAAAAATGCATACCTGCTTCACCAGCAGAGCCTCTGCGGGCCCAGCCCACACCCTGCTCGCCACAAGAAACCCACCTGCGCAAACTGGCGCACATTCCAGCTCTCAATGCACCTCAGGCCACAGGACTGGGGCTCACACCAGGGCAGCGTGTGACCCAGCTCCAGGGCAGGGCGCTGGATGCCAGACGCTGGCTGGACAATGCAGCTGCTGCCCATTGTGTTGTGAACCCTGGTACACACACCGAACCAGGAGACACAGAGTATCCTGTGAGTGTGGGGACATCAAAGGTCCACCAACAGAGCTTGGCAGAAGCTGTTGTTTCCCTGGGTCCTATCTGTCCCCACTCCTGTATCTAATGTGACTAACCAGTCACCAGGGACTGTCCATCAGATCATACCAGTTTCCCTGGAGGCAGCACCCCTGGGGGTCATCCCCCAGCACCAGCACCTCCCACACACACACTCACCAGCACCTGGGAGAGGAGGAAGGGCTCTCCCATACTAGCCAGTGTCCAGAGGCAGAGCTGCCCTCCTAGTTCCCTCCCTTTGGGAATCTCCTGCACAAGCCTCCCCCACAGGATCCCCTAGGGTCCCTACTAGGATAAGACCCCCACAGCCCCTGTCCATGACATAGCAAGGGGAAGGAGTGTCTGGGCCTCAGCTAAGTGCCTGGTGCCCTCTCAATTTCTGATGGAATCAGGGTGTCCAAATCCCTTGGACAGACATTTCAACCACGTCCAAGTACAAGGGGCTGAGCCTTTGATAAAGGAGGTGTTTCAGCTGCTGGACACACACACACAAACCCAGTCTCAACCCAGCTGGGACTCTTCATGCACCCAGGGGCTGCAGGCAGGGTGGGGACTCCAGCCTGGGAATACCAGGGCTGTGAGGACCCGGGGCTCCACTCCCCAAAAAAGGATTGGGGGCAAAGCTGACTCCAGCCATGCTCTGCAGTCCCTGGTTCTGGGCCCTGCAGCTCTGCTTCCCCTCCAGTCCCTACATAGCATCCAATGAAGCCAGCTGTACCTACTGAAAATGTTGGCATCTCTAAAGTAATTAGTCTATAAGGGACAGCTCTACCCTTCCTCCTTCAAACCTGTCCCCAGGCAAGAACAAGCCATAGTCCTTGCTGCTGAACAAACCCCAATGGGGCTGCTTGTGTAGGGGAGACAAGAACTCACACACCCACACCTGCTCTGTATCATTATTCTGTAACACAGAATAACACCACCACATATCATTGTACTGGGGACATGGGGACATGGAGCAGAGCAGGGACTGCACAAAAACTGGAAACAAAGTCTGAATGGATATGGAACAAGCATCTCATGCTCCTGCCCTGCACTTTGTCCTTGCTCAGGATTAACTAAGGACAGGAGCTGAGCCCAGCCCAACCTGCAAGGCCTGCCTGTCCCTCCAGCACTGCACAGCTCCAACTCCAGGGGAATATCCAAATCTCAGGCCCCATCACC